CTAGGCAATCCCGACCGCGAAACACCATTGTCGGGGAGGTTGGACCCCTCCTTTGGGGTATTCGACGCCTCCCCTGGATGACGCCACACACATACCCTACATAAAATATATATATAATTTATTGCCTAATATATAGTTTTATCTGGTTTCTAATATAGGGCCTATATTCTATATAGAGAAAGTTTCCTTAAGAAAATCAATTTACATTGGTTTACTTAAGGAAATTTTCTTTATGGAATATATAATTTTTTTAATATAGGATCTGTAATCAAACACTTACCATTCACGAACCAGTTTTTTGTACTGACGTTTGATATCTTTTAGGCTAGCAGTGCGACGAACGCCCAGAACATTGTGCGGGTCAGGAGTTGATTCTGCAGCGGCCACAGGGTGGCTACCACCATTTTTCCCACAATGATGGAGGACTACAAATAAAACTTGGTATAAAGCTAAATGGAGTACGACTCGAATCATCGTGTACGTAAATAAGGCGAAATAGGCCTACTATACATATTTATTGTAGAATTCGACATACAGTACTAGGCCTAGGCCTACTTTAGGAAAATACAAAAATGTATTTAAATCGTAGCAAAGAGTATAAATAGATTTAAAATTTCCCACACGAATATAAATAGACGAGCGGGACAACGACATGTGGGTTTGATTTGAATGGTTATGGATGGGAATAAATAATGAGAAAATAATTATAACTCTTTGATGAGATGTGTATAAAAAGAAAAAGAAAAAAAAAAAAGAGAGAGAAAAAGGAAAAAATGATGGCCAAGAATGCCTCAAATGTTATGTTCGGGCGTCTAGAAAACAAAAATTTCGCGGACCCCCCTACGACAGTGTTGTCTCAATCGGCCCAACTTTCGCCCCCCCCCCCCCCCCCTGTTTTTGGACATTTCTGGATCCGCCCCTGTTATGGATGGGAATAAATAATGGGAAAATAATTATAACTCTTTGATGGGACTCACGAGTGTTGCCAAAGTGCGAGCCAGCGAGTCATCCAACGAGCATGCAATTCATGCGAGCCGTGACGGTAATTCATGCGGGACGTGTACCAACAGTGCGAGGCATGCGAGGCAGACCAAAGTCCACGCTATAAGCACTTGTACAATTTATAAAACAATTACATATTTTTTACCAACTGTTTTTGTCACGCATTTAGCACAAGTCTTTGAGTGATAACGAATTATCACGAATTCATGGGAGAATGTATTTAAAATTAGAAGAAATTGGTTTTATTAAAATATAAAAACGTCATGCAGTAGCTTGAGTCATTAGAGCTAGAGCTTTAGTTATCTCATTGGAGAATCAATTTACCGAGAATCTTTCCCGACCAAGACAGCCAAACCATGCACTTACTTCTAACCTGTAGACGCGTGCGTCTTGCGCGTTCATTATTGTCCAACCAACCGCTGATTATGTGATTGGACCGGGCATCCAGGGTTCCGCCCCTGACCCCGGGGGCCCAATCCACCCAACTGGTGTAGTCACGCATTTCAAATCTCTCAAGTTGGTAACGATGCAATTACAATAATGAATTAACATAATTATTATGAAAAAATTTAATTGCAGTTGACGTGTTCACGAGGGTAGATGGCTTGCATGAATCGCATGCCTCACTGACTCGCAGTTAGTCAGTACCCGGACTCATCATCATTTTTGGCCGGTGACGTTGTTTTAATAGTAAATAATGAACACGAAATGATAAAAATGTTAAATGTTGCAGGGAAGTATGCAAAGGAGTGGAAGCTTTTAATAAATCTATGTGATGGTCACTGGAAAGCGTATTAACCGAGAAAAACAAAAAAACATGATTTGCTATAAATATTTGGGAGTGATAATTTCCTCAAATCAAAAGGGAAATAACTACTACCAACATTTCATGCAAAAAGGAAACCATTTAATTATAAAGGTGTAATTGGGAACCTTGATCATTTTAATAGGGTCTTTTACGCGGCAATATTCTATGGAAGACAATAGCACTTCCCTCAATTTGTGGCGATTGGCATAGCAATTCAAAAAAAGATAATAAAAAAATGACTTAGAAAAGCTACCATTACAAATGGGAGATTTCTCGCTGTGCACCGCAAGAAGCGCTGTATTGAGACAAAGACAATACATCAGATTAAAATAGCAAATAAAAAGATTGATAAAGTAGATTTGAAAAAAGGTAAAAAATTGGCTTACAGAATTTCATTCTGCAAACCCCAACCGTTAAAATACCAAAAGAACTAGGAGCGATTAAAAGCCTACAAAATTTAAAATATTAAAAGTTAGATCGATTACTAATTTTACTAGAAGAGTGTCATATCCGGCAATCTAGAGGTACTATTTCTCTCCAAATTTTACCACCTCAATAAAACTACGTTTACCGTGATCATGACGTCATTTGAATTGATTTGTCAAAATATTTTATTATCGCATACACATAAATCGTATCGAATCGTCCTAATTTTTAAAACTTATTTCTCTAAACAATTACTTTTTATCCTTTTATCGTCATCATTGCAAGTATGAACAGGCCTTATACAGGCGACCCAATGTTGGAATCGCGGAAAAAATTAGATGGGTTGTATAACATCTTTAGATCGTGAAAAAATTACTTATTATGAACAAGGACAAACGAAAATTAAAATAGTAAAAAAAAACTGCAAAGTGTGGCATGTGCGTCAGTTTACTTTTGTAATGCGTGCGTTATCAAAATTTCATGTAGTAGCAAATATACTATCAAAACATTCGTACTTCAGCTATGACAACCTGAAAGTGTTAGTTATGTTTATTTCAATGTTTGGCTTTCAGCTGAAAATCTGTCTCTTATACACATCTAGATGTGTATAAGAGACAGCAGCAGACGCCGAAAATATAAGATACTCAGTAAGTCTTAAATTCTTTGTAAAAAAAAAGTAATCTTAATTTGTTGGTCTTTTTTGATTGTATGTTTTAGAGCTAGTCTATATAAATACATTTCCGAAAAAAAATGGATGTAAAAGGGTACTGTAGGTTTTTGTTTGTCTTGTTTGTAAGTAATCAACATTTTATAACAACGACCATGCACAAGCGCAACTTTTTTGCCTTTTTTTCTTTGCGGCTGCACCCCTCCCCCACACCACCCCCTGCCTACGTCCCTGCATTCAGATCCACTGATTACTTTTTGAGATATTTGTTTGCGACGTTAGCATTATGGCCCCCAAATCACGCACAAATCTGGATCGTCACCAATTCAATATGTCTTCCTTGTAAGTTTAATGGCCTGAAACTTAATGAATCAAAGTATCAGTTAATGCTAATCTAAGATCAATGACTTACTGTACAATGCTTAAGAAATAATTATTTAAAAGAAAACGACTTAAGTAGTTAAAATATTAACATAAATAAATTGTGTACTGTATTTCACGCCTGTATTGCACCAATTTGTACCAACAATAATTGTTTAAAACACATTAAGGTGGATGTATCTAATTAATAACAATAAGTATAATAACAATGTAGCTTGAAGTTAGATTGCTTGCCTGCAAACACCAGAAATTATGTTATAATCGTTTCTATCATCACAACACTTTACTGAAAAAGTTCCTTATCATTTGTATAGTAAAGTGTTTTCAGATGGGAATTCAACTTGCAACCTCTCGCTGATAACCGTCGAGGAGAGTGTCGCACCGCTAAACCAGAAACTTGTTAGTATATCACAGATATGATCCAGCTAGTTCACCACAAAAAAAAAAGGATTTATGCCCTCACAAATAAATATCGTACAATTAGCAAGGTTCATATGGCCATAAATCATCAGTTGAACTGTCAAGACGAAATGCGTATAGTCGGGTAAAAATTATATCAGTGATGCCTTCAAAAATTTGCCAACTAGTCAAAAATGGCATCTAAACCAAGTTACCACCTGGGCAGTGACATAACGGCGGTGAGCTCTCAGGGGAAAAGCCCCATCCCCCAACCTATCATGAACCCAGTGTCGGTCTACTTTTTGACTGTTTGAATAGTGCATTATAAATATAAATAAAGCAATTGATGGGAGCTTCAAAGAGGTTTTGACCAATATCAAATACCAAAAAATATCAAATAAATGACAACTGAATAGTTGAAAACAGTAATTTTTTCAGTGGGGACATTATTTAATTTTAGGGTTTATGATGGTTAAAAATGTGCTGTTAAATCACAATATTTAGGAATTGCAATTACAATTTGTTTAAATTAATATTTTTAGTTGACAGAGGGAATTTCCCCTGAACATTTCTGTGTTATATAAATGCAAACATAATTATTTGATCACACCTGTACTTATCTAATTACGCTAATTATAAAAATGACACAAATTACAGAAAAAAACATTAAAAACATTATACTTTGTATCTCACTATCAACAAATTCATTCACATGCTATTAGTAATCATTGCCAATAATTATCTGCAACTGCTCTGAAGCATTGGAACTCCCTCAAATAGGAACTCTTTATATGTTCGAGATTTCAAAGGAATATGCTTAACTACTTGTTTTCATTACCTTTTTACATTTTGCTAGCACTTTGTATCCACTGGAAAAGGCGCTTTACCAATTGAGTTTTCCACATCATACCATTACACATAGCTTGCCATGGGGGCTTGCTCAATTTTGTCCTAAATCAGACCAGGCCCAAGCAATCTTTAGGACATTTTGCACCAAATTTACAAATTAATTTTAAAAGTAAATTCTAGATTTTCATGAAAATATTTGGGCAGCAACCCTTAATAGAAGTATACTTTTAACGGGAAGAAAACAATTAATATAAAGTATTATGGAAGAGTGCAATGATCTACAGTAATCGGAACACAGTAAGAAATTTGGTAACTCATTATTTTGTGATTACTCCGTAATACTCTAGTTAAACTTAGTCCCGACTCCCAGGACCACCTTACAGGCTCATACCTCCTTGGTTCCCCGCATACATTATAAGGATTCTGTGAATACAAGTTAATGAATGAAGAAAACTCACATCAAATTAATTTTTATCTATGATAATTTTTAGTGCGATAGTCTGTATCCTTAGTACATAAATGCCGTAATACTTTTACTTAATATTTCGGCAATAGTTAATCTGATTCCAGTAAAATGACCCATCATTTTACAGTAAAAAATCTGGGGAGTACAGACATTTTAAAAAGTCAATTTTTTAAATTTTTGGGCGTTGATGTTGGTTTTGGGATCATATGCCTCGTAAGAAAGTCACCCAAATTATTTCATCATGATTGTCACAATAATAATTCAATAAAAGGATTCAAGCACCAAAATTACTGTTAAATAATGATTCATAACATAATTTCTATCTTCACTATAAACAGAAACATACATGACAACTGTAAATGGGATTAAAAAATGAGGATTAACAAACATTTATTTGCACAATGGAAAACTTCTAATTTATCAGCATCACCTAGGGTCGATGGTTGGCCATTCCGTGACCCGTATCCTTGGGGTTGATCCATCATAAAGTCTATCAATCCACATGGGTAACGGAGCATAAAAATTATCAATGTGAAGCTCATTTCCATCATCTGTATCGCTGTCGGAATCACCGAAACCGACAGATTCCGGATTCACTTGCGAGTATTGTTGAGAGGCTCGGTAAGCAGCGATCTGCGTCCGTGCATTGTACAGACAATAGTACATTCTGTGTGCGTTAATGGCAAGAATATTCCCTATGACTTTCTTTACATCCTGCGTGTCTAGAGCTCGATTGGTTAACTGCTCGTACCAGGAACTATACTCATCCACTTGAAGATATGAGAACTGCCAACCTTCCATTCTACAGAGGATTATAAAGATTTAGTAAAAGATCAGAGAGAATTAGGATAGAATTAGGGAGATTTAGGGAACAAGATTTATGATTAAATTAAGAAGATTCAGTAAGTTAGGATTAGGAAGCTTTAGGATAAGATCAAATAAATAATAGAAAGATTGAGAATAGAACTGGGGAGATTTAGTATAAATTAAGGTGATTTATATTAAGAGAAATGATAAGATCAGGAAGATAAGTGAGAGATTTAGGACAGATTTGATGATATTACATAGAATTAGCTAGGTTTATGGGATAAAGTTTAGAGGTTGAGTAAAATTCAGAATTATTATATAAATAATATTTACATCTATATGGAATTGAAAAAAAAATTATTGAATTGACCTACACTGATTTTCACATACCTTTCAATTTGATATTTGATAGCTTTCTGAGCCTCGACAAACAGCTCTTTCTTATTAGCCTGATCGACAAGAATGAGCAGAGTCATTTGTCCTGGGGGCGCTCTTAGAACCAATGTCTCATTACTTACTGGATCTAATGAGTATACACTGATATGCTGTTTTCTGCAAAATATTTTTAGTGAAAATTATAGTTAAATTTCTTTTTACATATGGGGGGTATCATGTTCAGAGAAATAATAAATATGTGTACCACTGGAATTTCTTTATATACAATTAAATGAGCTATGTATTAAACATTTTAATTAAACTATTAAGGTTTCCCCCATATTTTATGAATAGTGGCTAATTTAAGGCATTGTACCTAAACTATAAGACTTCATGTCTTTCTAAATTATATCAACTTCTTTTCAATTCAGACAATTGTTTTTCATTCATTCATTCATCCATTCATAATGGTATATTAATTAATAAAAGCATCTTCACAGAAAAACTAAATTGTGATAATCTTTTACATAAAATCAATTAAGCACAACAGTTAATAATTATTAATTATTATTATTATGTCCATATCAAAACAAATCCAAAGCAAAATAGAAATTCTATAAATTCTAAGTATCTATTAATTTAATTTCTAAAATCACATTTTTATAATTTTGCAATTAAATCTAAAGTGAAAGCCAAAGGGCTTCCTCTATTACTCATTTTACCTCATTCACTCGCATTTTTTTCATTAATCACTAAAATTTTATTTTCATTTTTTCCTTTGTCTAGATGCCTTTGTTAAAACATTTTGTTAAATAAGGAAACAAAATTCTCTATTTTTTTTTTCCAATCTCCTATTACGATTTAAAAAAAATATGTAAACATGGTCTGGTCTAAACTATATGACCTTACCTAGGGGGTTCGTTCATTGGTGCGCCAGCAGTTGATTTATTTCTATTAAAACAGAAAAACAATGCAAAAATATAAGTTGCAAATTTCAAGATAATATTTTTAAAACATATCAATGATTGAAACACATTCATTTAATGAAGGCAAATATAAATAATAATGGATGGAAAGCCGGTATCTGTTTAAGGGAAAACAATCATGGTACCCCTCCATAAGAAGTCAAAATATGACAGATAAAAGAAATAATGATTGTTTAAGAACCAGAAAAAACAATTATACAGTTGAACTTACCTACGTCAAATCCAAAATGCCACTGAAATATTGTTTGACTTATTGATAAAATTTGACTTATAGATTGCTAATTAATGGAAAACACAACAATTTGGCATGTAAAATAACAATGATTTAGAAATTATTCGACTTGGGCACAGTCGATTTAGGCAGCTTTAACTGTATTACATGAGCCATACTTGGGTGAGCAGCACAGATTCACAAAATGAAAGCATATTGTGTACACTCGGTCTATGCCTTATAGTCGTTATTCGAGAAGACTTGTTCCACCACCACTTAAAACCAGATGAGACTTCACAGCCTTAATGCTAAGATTTTTTACAGTTTATTAATTAAATAAATTTAGTACTATCTTCACCTGAACCTCGAAGGCAGAACAGATGCTGCTTCCATGAAGAAAATATGGAAAGCTTAACACTGGAGATGGAAAATCAATATTTTAGTTTTATGTATAATATATGGAGAAACATAGAGAGCTCATCATAGGAGCTGTAATATCAATATTTGCAACTTAGTTTTGTTTTATTATTAATGTGAGAATTGATGATGGTGTAATAAATAGTGGCATGATGTGATTGCTACTTTAGGCTGCGAATCCAGATATATTACTGACCTTGGCGTAATGTATCCAAGCACTACCACCCCCATGACAAAAATGTATGCAAGAAGAACACAGAGAACTAAAGTTACCTCATCCCTAAAAAAAAAAAAAATTAACAACTTCAAATAACATGTTAGATTGATTTTGTGAGCTCAACTTTGGGAGGAAGCACTGTCTGTGACTAACAATTTTTTCTTTAAGCCGCGCACCCTCTACGCCTGACATCCGTCAGTCGATGTGATGCTATGGAGAACGCAGCATCACGACGTGAATGCAACAAATCATTTTTTATTTCATATATTTATTTTGCACATATATATATATATATCTTATACACATCTAGATGTGTATAAGAGACAGATGCTATGGAGAACGCAGCATCACGACGTGAATGCAACAAATCATTTTTTATTTCATATATTTATTTTGCACATATATATATATATATATATATATATATATATATATATATACATACATATACTTATACATACAAACATACATACACATATGCAGATAAATATGTTAGTCTCTGATTCCCCACAAGGCCCTGGCGGGAAAACAAAAAAGTAAAATTATGTACTGTCGAGATCATCTCAATTACCACCACTTAAAGCATCATTATTATATTAAAAAATATACTTATGTATTTTGGTGGGTTTTTTATACATTTTTTTTAAAGATAAATTTTATATACAAAAATTAAATAAGATACAATAAACAACAAGACACTTAGAAGACTCGGTAACCAGACAAGCCCAAGCAAGATAATGGAGAGTCAATAAAAGTTTAAGGCTAGTGTTCCCTGATCAGCTAAGACTTGAAATTTAAAGGCGCTGCACCACAGACTTCCAACAGGAACTTATCCCAAAGAATGGGAAAATGATTAAAAGTTGGAAACTTCAATGCATTGGTCCGGGCAAAGGCATGCCTGGAAAGCAAGTTCATCGGAGTGTTTTGTGTTGATCTTAACAAATTTGTGACAATCAAGGTCGTAGACAGTAAAAACATTTTTAATGAAAAGTTCAGACTGCCAACAACAATCATTGTCCAGAGCACACTGGGAGCGAAGTTGGAATCGTCGTACGAGACCGTCATACAACACAGCGAGTGCCCGGTTTTAAGAACGTACACCTGGACCATTTTCAGCAGGTACCCAAGTTTGAACTCTTTCTGTTCCCTACTCAGGCAGCACCATGCCCTTTGCAGCATAAGGTAGTGTAGGTACGAGCTTACAGCCCAGATTGAAGTTACTAACACCCCATCTAATGTCCTGTGTATATAAGTGAAACTCAGTACACTAGTATCAAAGACTACCATTACATCAGCAGGCGAGATAATGGATACTGGTTAAAAAATGATTTTTAATATTTATAAAAATTTTTGATACAAGCAATAGATAGATTAGTTTAGATAGATTTTTTATGGGCTATACAATTCCCATTATTATTTATTAAATTCCAAATGTTCTCACTCAATAGAACACTAAGAAAATAATAATGATTATTATTAGTTCTTACGATGTGAATTTGCGACTGAATACTCAGTACGTCCCCAAATACTAGTGACCAAGCGCAAGCTCGGTGGTCTAGTGGTTAAAAAGACATCAGAGTATTCAGTACGATTACACGTCAGGTAGGGCAAAACATCACTCCTATGATAATTTCCTGACGCAAACTCATCCTAATAAATCTGATTTTATTATTAAGAAATCCAAGCCATTGTTGTACTACTGTTTCGCTATAATAGTGTCAAGATAACATTTGGTTTTGGAGGCATTTGTTCAAGATAATCTTCACGGTCGGAGGCACAAAAAATGTTTTTCCAGGTCTGCTATGAACAACGAACTACCAACGCGAGTCGTCGGATAGAGGGCACATGTTACTATGATGAATAAACAAGAGTGTTGGGGGTCAACAACTTATTGGCATCGTGAAGCTGAATGATCGCGATATGTATGTAAACTACACATTTAAGGATCTCAAAACTAGAAAGAACATGATAGAAAGGTCCATAAAACAGACAGAAGTTTTAATAAGTATTAAAACAATCTTTTGTTAAATGGGAGAATGCCAGCGATTACAATAATTAAGTTTTTATCGAAGGTAAATTTAGCTAGGCTCTCTAGTGCAATGGACCACGCTGCTGTACTGTCGGTTCGTGCTAGGTCTGGCCGCTGTCCGCATATCGGCGCTCGATGGCCTAGGTAGTGGACTGACACCTGATCTAGTTTACAAATTTTTCAATTTACGAATACCAAGAAGTGCGTAAAATGGACGTCTTACTGTATTATACTTTCTTATAGAGGGCAGTATACTGAAATTACTGATAACATAGAGGGCAGTATATTTAAATTAGTAATAACATAAGAGGGCAGTATATTTACATGAGGGATAACATAGAGGGCAGTATACTTAAATTACTAACATAGAGGGCAGTATACTTAAATCACTGATAAAATAGTGGGGTGTATACTCATCGTAATGCATAAAAAGGCAATTTATCCTATCACAGAGCTCCTCCACTACTAAGCAATGCTACTCAAGCAGTCGGTATGAGTGCCTCCTTAGTTTTACAGAGCTTTTTAACTGAAGTAATTTTACTCCATTTTATCTTAATAGTTGCCATGGAGGCACTGAGTCATAATGAACCATGGTAGGTTGTTGCACAGTAACAAAGAGATGTCAGAAGGCACTACAACACAGCAAAGTAGTACTCTACAGAGCATGTAATGAATGTGCCTACTATACAGCTTGTATAGAAAAGAATGTATTGTGTAATATTTTTATATGTTCTGTATTGATGAGATGACCTTTGACATATACATGCCAAGTGAAATTATGAGAGCTTATTACCGGTGCGTTTTCATCTTCCATGGTCTCAATTTCTCTAGTTTGTCTTAAAGTGGAAATGTAGTTGGATAATTCCACCAAGTAGTCTCTCAATCGCCTCTGATTGTCATCTTCATCATTCTTCTTCCAGCCGCCAGGCAACCAATCAAAATTGAGCTTATTTCTTGTTCGTCTCCATACTACAGCAACCTAGAATGGGAGACAAAAAAAGCTAAGGTCTCGCAAAACAACAGCGTAAACATGCTAACGCATGTTATATTCTGGCCCTGTTCTGAATGGCAAGTTCAAATTATTTTTTTCCAAAAAAAAAGTTGTCCCGCTATTTTTGAGATTATAATTTTGAAGGTTAGACCTACATTTTCTTTAATATGTCATAACCTGTACATTACATTTTTTTTAAATGAGTAATTAATTTAGCAGTTTTTCTCAATCCATATATCATTTTTTTTTAATGTACTTTAAATCTGTCATTACTATTTTCCATGACAACAAATCAGTCTTGTATAATTTTGGTCTTTTTTAAAATATTTTTATGTTTATTATGTTTATGAATATTTTTAATTAAATTATTTACTGATACACACCAACACCAGCTTAATAAACAAATAATAATATACAAGTAAAATTTTTTTTTTTTTTATTTCGTAGCTCTGGAAATCTCACTAACTTTTTACATCAAATCAAAGTTTCTACAGTTGAACTCGCCTAAGTCGAATCCAAATGGCATTGAAAACTTCGACCTAAATAAAATTTGACTTACAGATCGTTAGTTAATGGAAAACACAACAATTTGGCGTGTAAAATAAGATGACCTTAGAAAGTATTCGAGCTGGCAAAGTCAACATAGGCAAGTTTAACTGTCTTTAGCAAAAAATCTGCAAGTAACCATACATCCAGACTTGTTTTTCAATCATAAACGATTAATCAAGCATTACAAGACAAGCGTATGCAATGTTGACTTACCGGAAGTCTTGAGTCCTGCGTAAATTCCACACCAATGATGCGTGTAAAGTCTCTCTGCGTTTCTTTGTACACATACATGAACCTTGACCCATCAGGAAAGAAAGTTGTATCAACAGCAACTTGGCTGAAAGTTCTGCGAAACTGATCATGATTTTTCCCTCTCTGCGTGAACAGGATCACACAAACTCTGGAAATTGACAATAAACAGAATTATATTCGCAATTATAATTAGGCCAGGAAGTTTTAGTTGCTCAAGCTGGACATGGTGAAATGAAAATAATAGGTGGGGCAGTAAACTGGGAGACAACCCTACTCTTTTCCAAGGTGTGTACTGCGTACTTTCACATGAGCCATTTTTCATATGGGACCAACAGCTTAAACGTATCATCCGAAAGACAGTGCATTTTAGAAACTGGAGGGAGCAGCGATGTGAATTGGACCAGGAACAAGGAGATCTATATGGTTCCACGCATACACAGTAGCTACCAACAAATTTAGCCAACTGAGCTGGCGCAGGGAGCAGATTGTGAGTTATGTTACAGGTATACTTAATCTAAAGATATACATCAAAATTTTTAAAAGTACAATAAAATGCAAACAATAGTGCAAAGGGTTAAACTTTTAAACTATTCAATTAAATTTTGTTTTTTAAATAAATAATAAATTATAATAATAATAATGATTTAATGATATTAGGTAATGCAATCAATTAAACAACAATCAAAGTTTTTAAAAAAATATAAGAGTAATTACTTGCGATTTTTCTTTGATGGAGAGACTGGGCAAAGGTCATCGAACACAGTTTGTGATGACAGTCTCGGAGCGTACAGATACTTGTTGTCCATTATGACATCACGAATCGATTCCCGTTCCAGCATACTAGCCTGTGAAATGAACACAAAACAACATAAACATTCTTATTTTCACCATTAGACTACAAAAGTCATTTGTGTTATGCATGCCCCAATAACCCAAAATCCTTTTTAGTTAAAAAAAAAAGGTATAAGCCCAAAGGACTGAACCACAATTACGTACAAAATTTTAAAATACCATATTTATTCAAATAAACACCTCCCTCTAACACCTCATTTGGAATAAATGCCTACCTCGAATTAAATCAAAAACCTTTCTCAACAATAAATACACCGGAGCATTTATTCAAATAAATACAGTACTGCAGTAATATATACCCTTACCTCTAGGCTATCGACATAGTTGTCTGCATCTTCTTTAAACACCAGTAAACGCGTACTATCCACGCCATACTGTCTACACATACTGTGCACTGGACTCTTGAAGCTTGAAAATCCGAACGCCATCTTGTCTCTGAATTCGTAGGCAGTGGCTAGATAAAGAAGAGATGGCACAGACCTACGCGAGAACAACAGCGTCCGAGGACGGTTGTCAGAATGGCCAGCCAGAAAAGTTTGGAAGTTTTCGTCATCTACCTAATGGGAGATAAAGATTTGAATGCAAACAAAAAAGGGGGCAAGGGACAGAACTACCTGTACCCATTCCATCATTACAAGTGTAATACAATAAAATAAAATTGTGCATAGTAGTGTAATACAATACTATGCACAATTACACATTATCAATACCTGTACTTGCAAACATTAATTATAGTCGTATCACAGGCCCGTTGGAAAAAGTTAATTAATAGTCAGGCCAGAGGGGTCTTAGCACCCCAAGGGAGTCTCAACAGGCTCTAGGGATTTTGGTCCAGAGGTTCAATTAACCAAACATTTCTGCCCATACCCCAGAGGGGTGGTGAATCACTAGGGATTCAGATGGATTCAAATATATTTAGTTGAGTTATGACTTCATTATTGTGTCTCAGTATATGAGCAGAAAATAAAATGTTGAAATTTATTGTGAAATTCTAGATAGAAGCCTTTAGCTAGAGTACCTTATCGATGTGTGTCGTGGGAAACATTTTCATGGCAAACGCCTTCAAGTTTTCAATATTGATAACCATCTGTGATCCAAAGTAATGAATTCTCTTGTCTAACACACCAACGATAGAGGGCCAACTGTTAACACCAAGGTCGCGCAATAAGCGACGGTCGTAATCGGCATGCACAGTCCCAATGCCAATACCTAAAAACAAAATACACTGGAGTCATTCGTTGCCATATCAACATACATTTTTGCGGTTGTTGAATTTCTGTGTGGTTTCAAATGTACAGTATTTCTATTATTTTTAATAGACAATAAAATCTATCTTGAATCTTGAGTTTTTAGTTATTGACGTTGTCGTTTAGCTTGGTTATTAAGATGCTTGTCTTCTAATCTCAGGGCCTTGGGTTCAATACCTGTACATAGACCTTTCTGGAATGTCTATCAAACTTAACAATTGACCAATGAGAAGAGGTCCAGGAATATGTTTGGTTTTAACAGGCACACACATTGTCACACAAACACATGTGTTTGCGTTATGTTTCAACACTGTTGTTTTGATGGGACCTTAGCAACAGTATCCAAGGGGCGGGGCTTAGTGGAAAGGTCCATTACAGCAACTCCAGACAAAAACATGTGATATGCCTAAATACGGTCATGATGACATCACATCATGACTATACATGGGCATACAACATTTTTTTTGTAAAGTGTTCACACGAGAGCACTAGTATCCGGATCGGGAGCTAAGCGTTAGCACACGCGTGTTAATGCCCAATCAGTTAGCGTTAATCGTTACCAGGATCTTGATACGCTAACAGTTAACAAGCACTATCGGTTAGCAAATTGAGTGCGTTTCTATCATCAACCAATCACACATACGCGTTTCCAATTTCCAGTTTCCTATGACCCAGTAATTCGATCATCATCTTCTTGGTATATGGATCGGGGATTGTCTTGTATGAACGCACGCCTGCTAACCGTTAGCTGACATGTGTGAACATAGCACAGTGAAAAGCTACTCTGCGTGCTTAGTAACGTAGGTTAAACATTTCCCACATGAACAAAATATATACGAGCGATACTGGTTAAAGACAACTTGACTTCTTGTTTCGAACAAGGTATCCATTCGTAGAAGCCTTATGAAGATAAGCCTATCAACAGTGGTATTAAAGGCTCGGGACCAGGACATACAGTACTGTATCTCCAACTTTAAATTGACAAATATAGAAGATTGTTAAATGTAGACACAATGTATACATACTGTAGATCTAACTTTAAAACATAAAAAGGTGTAAATTTAAAAATAAGCTTATCATAATTAATGTATGTGTGAATTATAATCTGTTAATTGTGAATAAGAAAAACGCAAAGTTCATTTTACCAGCATTCTTTAGTTCCTGAGCATTTTTTTCCCAAATTTCTTCAACACGAACACAATTAAAACACCATTGTCCGGTAACAAGCAGCATATACGCTTTCTTATGACTTTCTGGTAAAATTGTGTTATGAAACATTGGGTATGTGATCCTCTGCGAGTTGTCGCTTCGACTCCCCCCACCTCCACCTCTACCACCAAAATTTTCGAATCTGAATGAAAAACCGCCGAAGTTGAAGCTTTGCTGTTGGTAGCGCTGTGGCTGGTGGTCGTCAACATGTCCATTCTCATCATACTCTCTACGCTTTTCTTCATCAGAAAGGATCTAAAATGTGAACGAAGTAATATAATCAGGTTGTGTGCATTTTATTGGGAATGTGTCTCAGGACGTGTCTGTGTTCAGTGTAAGAATAATAATCAGCCTACTGACAGAGTCACAGACAGCAATGGGCTGATGGGGTGTTATTTTGTGCATTACAAGCAGCTGCTGTGATGGTGACAATGTCTCTTTTTTGATAAAAAGCATTATGGGTAATGTCACATGACTGCAGATAGCGGGAAGGAGATGACATGGAGATTAAGAATGAGGTGAACGATCTCATTCTTTTGATTGAATAAAGTTATTGGAAAGGAACGTTACATGCTTTGTCTGGCACTGTTAATTGCGAGTGTAAATTCCACTGTTCATTGTAGCGCCCCCCCCCCCTTGAACCAGAGAAGCTAAACTGTATTTCATGTATTTTTATTGTGGTCATTTATTTATTGTTTTTATTTACCTCATAAGCTTGCGAAATTTGAATGAACTTCTGCTGTGCCTCAGGGTCATCATTCTTATCTGGATGCCTGAATATAAAATATACCATATTTATTTGAATAAAAGCCCCGCTTTGAATAAACCCCTCTCAATAGCTTCATTTGAAATAAAGACTTCCCTCGAATAATCGCCTCGGGTGTTTATTTTTTCATCAAATAAATGCTCCCCTACTAAATTCGCAAAACATTCTATTAATTTTGTACTCCAGTAGAAATATATTTTAATAAGGATCAATAATTCGGCGCTAATGAACTTTCGCACCTAACTTTTAATTCTTAATTTTTTACCTGAATTTTCTTCTCACAGTGACAACACATAATTATAAAACATTTTTACATAATTCAACCACTCATAAAGTACATTTTTTCAACAAAAAGATACCTTTATAAATATAGGTTGATACAGGGTTTCCGCGCTTGCTAGCACGACGACGAGCTGTACTTTTTTGCAATCAAGTAAGAAATTGACAGAATGTCCGAGTCAATTCTTAAATTTTGAAACCATTAAAGGCCAGTCTTATAATTTTAATTGGAATTTTTCCATGAAACATCCGACAACAAAATGTGGCATCATGCAGTACATCTTTTTGAACTTTCTTGTCGTAATCGAGGTTAATCGAACCGACGTTTATCATTGGCTTTAATATCCTGTAGTTGTTTTTCTGGATTCAGGGCTAGGCCCCTAGGCCCTATTTTTCGATCTGTGTACGCATTTGGATCATTACTAATTTTTGAAGTAATTATTGTACGTGTGAATTTCATGTGAACACACAAACAGCACCATACTATATAAAGAATGACAATACGGCAAATAGATAAGTTTTCATAAACGTTTAATCAAAAAACTTCACGCTGCAAACTCAAGACATTCTGGCAATTTCTTACTGATTGCAAAATGGCAGCCGCTCGTCGTGCTAGTGAACACAGATTCGCTGTACTTATTTGTGGGCTTATTTGTTGAAAAGGTACTTTGTGAGTGGTTAAATCAGGTGAAAATGTTCGTTAATTATATGTTGTGACTGTGAGAACATTAAGGTAAAAACTTCAACAATTAAAAGTCAGGCAATTTCTTAATGATTGCAAAATGGCAGCCGCTCGTCGTGCTAGCGAACACAGATTCGCTGTACTTATTTGTGGGCTTATTTGTTGAAAAAGGTACTTTGTGAGTGGTTAAATCTGGTGAAAATGTTCGTTAATTATATGTTGTGACTGTGAGAAGAACGTTGAGGTAAAAAAATTAAGAATTAAAAGTTAGGTGCGAAAGTTCATTAGCGGCAATAATTCTTTATGATCACACAATAACACATTTTCAACGAAATTAATGGACGATATACACATATCCAGTTTACATTTTTTTTAAAAGCCGGTCTCGCGAATAGACGCCCCCTCAGACCCTTCTCAACAACATCCTGTGGCGTTTATTCGAATAAAAAAGTGGGAAGAACAAAAAAAATTTAAAAAAAAGGAAATTCCTTCTCCTTAAATTAACTGTTAATCAAGCCACTGGCACAGATCATATATAATTATATAATATACGATCTGTAATCAAACACTCACCATTCTCGAGCTAGTTTTTTGTATTCACGTTTGATATCTTTCAGACTAGAAGTGCGACGAACACCCAGAACATCGTACGGGTCGAGAGATGTTTCTGCAACGGCCATCGGGCTGCCATCATTTTTCCCACAATGATGAAGGCCTACAAATAAAACTTGGTATAAAGCTAAGTGGAGTAATACTAAACTGACTCGAATCATCATGTACGTAAATATGGCGAAGAACTATACTATATTTATTGTAGAATTTAACATACTTTAGAAAAATACAAAGTATTTAAAACGCGAAAATGTTGGCTTTTCACACGGAGCTAGCTAGGGCATATAAAACTGTGATAGCGCCCTCGTCGATGTAGATATATAATAGCAAAGGTCTTATAAACACAAGATAGCGTTCTCCGGGATGCGATTTTTTTTTCCGTACGAAACATTTACATGAAACTCCACTCGGGCCGTCTCGGCTGAATCGACCGAAAATCTCATTGCAGAATTCAGGAGGTCAAAAGGTCATCAACAGATAAACGTCTACAGAACAACCAACTTCTGAGAGACGGCGTCGCTGTCTGATTTTTAAAAATATTGATGTTACCATGTTAATAACAATGGGTCGTTTAAAATGACATATAATATTTGATTAAGCTGCACGAGTAATGAAAAGTGTTATTTTAACTTGAGTTACAATTATGACAATTTTAATTTTTTAGTTAGGCCTGGGTTTTGCATAATTACCTAGGCCTACTAAAAACGCTTTCTGGGAAAAGCACAAAGTGTAAGGAAAAGCGCGTTTTTCTTCATCACTGATCAAATGAAACAGAATGGCAGTTATTTTCAAATTAAGAGAAGAGCTGAGAATAGGCAGCTCTAAAATACTGGATGCCATAACACCTGCCAAAATGGCAGAGCACCAAATGAATGTAAAAATTAGCTAGTTATTAATATTAGGCATAGTAATCGGCAGGTTCTTGATTACAAGGCTAAACCAAGTTAATTACATGTAATGCCGAAATGATAATAATAATTATTATTATTATTATTACCTGTACGTTAAGGGGGACTTAGACAAAGGGGAAATAACACAAAAAATATTCCC